TCAGTCTTCTGCATGCAGATACCCAATTTTCCCAGTACCATTTATTGAAAAGACTATCCCTTCTCTACTGGGTTACTACTGTATTCAAAATAAATTGTCCATATATGTATGGATTTTCTTTTGGGTATTTTGTTCCATGTTTCATGTTTCATGTTCAGTGTCTGTTTTTATGCCAGTATCATCATGCTCTTTTGATAACTACAACTTTGTAGTATATTTTGAAGTTAAATTGTGTAATATTTCTTCCTTTTTTTTGTTTTGCTCCTATTTGTTTAGGCTTTGTGGTGAGTAAGGATGGGGGTACCGTACAGATTTTTAAAAATTATTATTTTGGTAATTCATGAAGAATATCATTAGTGTTTATGAACCCAGTTTGAAATCTCTGCTGTGCATAGAAACTAGCAGGTGTGGTTGTGATGTGAAGCTCTTGTTAGAAAAGCTTGTTCAGAGTTAAAGTTCAGCTTCTGTTTGTCAAGTTAGGAAAGACTAACCACAGGATTAGTCTTCAATTCAATCCTCTTGTCTATAAGGATGAATATTGTAAAGTACGAAAAACAAATACCTGCTGTTTTAACTCTGTAATTCTAATGAAGTTATATAGGGAGGTGAATTTGAATGTTCAATTAAATTCCAAGTTTTAAACTCAGACTAGTGAAATTTATCATAATACCTAGTTTCTGGGAATTTCTTGATTTATATTTGCCATTTAGCTGTAAACTTGCTAACTATTTCTAGCTTCATCTCATTTGAGAGGCTCTGTGTTCAACGTTAGCAAAATTATCAATCGATGGACTAGATGGAGAAAAGAGTCTTCCTAGTCTTTTTCACACACTAAGGGAAGATAAATTAGACCTTCTATGCAGAGTACTTGTAGTGAATGTTGAACAATGCTGAATTTGTTTATATAGGTTTTGGTGAACAAAAAAGCATAATTTCTGCATTAGTAAACTGGTGTTTCTGCTTAGCACTATAAAACCCCACATCTCCCTGGGCAGAAATTCTTTTGGTCATTGATAACTAATATTCCTTTAAATAAAATTGCTAATTCCTTTAAATAAACTTGCTAATTATTAGATCATACATGGTGTGTCTGATCTGTTGGAAACTTTCAGTCTGTGCTTTAAAGGATGATATATAATTTTCATTAGSATATGTTTTATTTTGTTTCTTGTGAACAGTTCTTTTACAAAACAGTGTTTCCAGTAGCATAAAATCTATTTAAGTTGAAATATTTGAGTTTCAAAATTAATGTGATCTTCCAATAACAATCTTCTAAAACAAACGAATTAATTAATAAAGCCTGATTAAATCATTTTTTCCTTATAATCACATTGACTTAATGAAAAACAGCATAGATCTGCTTGCGTATTTTTGTGAGGTGTGCAGGAGGCATGCCTGCATTTTTCTCAGTGCATGATTTTCAATTAGAACAGAAATGCAATTACAAAGTGAATTGGTACAATTCTCTAGATAAATCAAGCAAAATACTCTTCTAACTCAATGGTCTTCATATATCAGACAAAAGTACATTTTAGAATGTGTTTGAATAATCATCTCAAATCGCCAACTAAATTTACTTATACACATTTCATATTTTGAATTGCTTTTATGTTGTTCTACCAATATTCCATGAGTACTGTGTACTTAAAATAATTCTGAAGCCAACGTGCAGACTTTTCCTACCTCATGCTTAGGAGTGTCTCYTTGACCAGTGTTCAGAATATTTGCATGCATATGAGAATATTTCTGTTCATAGCCTATTATACTTTGCTAGCTGTAGCATCTATATTTTTCAAATCCGTTTTTCAGTTTGTTAAACAATGTTTAATGTGTGTTGGTCTGCATTAATTTTTCAATGGCCTTGGAAAATTGCTTATTTTTTTCTYTTTTGGATTGTTTTTCCTTTTCCACAGATGCATTTTGTAGAAGTATTTTGAGGATGAATGTTTTTAAATCATTTTGAAATTTCCAWGCACTATATACAGTAAGTAATATGTATTTCTATTTTCTATTCAATTGCAGCCATACTGAATGTATTTGGCAGACAGTCATAAAAGAACAAATTTCWATTTATAGTTCTTGAAAGTTAATATTGTGGGAAAATGTATACCAAAGATTAAGAAATGATGGATTTGTTAGTCTGAATTGTTACATAATTTCAAGATTTTCATTCACTGATTTTATTATCATTTTGTTACCTACATGTAGSACATCTTTCTTCAAGTTTTTTTCCTCCTCTAATCATAGATTGAAAAGAATAAAGGAGATTAGTGTTATTAGCTAGTGTTAACATGAAAAATATTAAAAGAAATATTAAATTAATATGTGTTAATATTTGTCAGGTATCATTAAATTCTTATAAACATTATCTTTAATACCTAAATATTTTAAGATAACTATTTTTATTCCCATTTTCAAATAAAAAAACTGAGATCCCCAAAGCTTGAATAGTTTGCTCAAAGTCTCTACAAAGTGATGAATCCAGATCTTAAACAAGACTTTTCAAAGGATGCTGCCTCCATCAAAAACTTAGAGGTTAAATAACTTTTATTTAAAGGCCTGTGTGTTTAAGAGCTCAACACATTTTGACATTAAATTTTAAATTTTGGGTCTGCTTAAGCATGATCCTCATAATGTTAAAGATTTTTGGTTGCTCTTAATATCTTATTTTTTTTGTCTTCTATTTTGTATTGTTTATCATGTCACTTGGATTGTTTTAAACAAGTAGGAAATAAATGAAAGTGTAGATTCCTGAATGTAAGTTTGTGAACCATTCAAATTATTCATTGATAAAAAGTATTTGGTATTAGAGTCCCAAAGTTCTCAAAGAATCTTCTGTCATTCATTAAAARTCACAGAAATCAATGTTATCACAGCATGTTAGAACTGGAAGGGATCACAGAGTCAGAGCTGAGCTTTCACCTGCTCAACTGCCTTGTTTGATGAAGTGGGATGGTCTGGAGGACAATTCTAAAATTTTAGAATTCCCCCAAATTTAGAAGCAATAATGGCAGTATTGATGTGTGTATATTATCTCCCAATCTACTATTTCAATAATGAGATGGTATAAGATGTGCTTTAAGAATCTAGACTTAGTATTCAGACTTGAATGAACACCTGGCTTTATACCCTGGATTGATTAAAGTTGGAAATGCATTTAACACATCTGGTCAGATGCTCAGCCGCACAGTGCACTACAGAGTGTCAGTGGTTTCCTTTCCAGATGGCCCTGCTGACAGGGAGCTAAGCTCCCTGTGGCTTCCCAGCTTTGGGAGGGAATATTACCCAATACTGAGGGTTGGTCAATGTTCAAAATTCAAAGTATGGTTCCTTGTGAATGCCTGTTGCATTCATACCATGGTAAGATAGAAAAGTAAGTCTGGAAGGGTGTTTGTATGTTATGATGTAAAGGAAACAGTAAAACTATTAAAATACCCTTAGTTTTGATACTGTTACTAATAACAAAAACAACAAAATCAGGACCTTATCAGGCTRTCTGATTGGAGATAAACATTTTAAATTTGTTTATTTTTAAATTTCTAATTATTGATGTATATTGATTTTTACAAATTATGGGTTTCACTGTGACATTTTCATACATGTGTGAATCTTCAAAAATATGCATGAGAGTATTTTGGATTTATCACTTACTAGTTGTGTGACTGAGCAAATTTCTTACTGTCTCTTTTAAATGGATATAAAATTAAGAMCTACCTCATTTGTGGTATTAATACATGTAAAGGATAGCATAGCTTCAGGTATATAATAAATGCTCAATAAATGTTAATAGTTATTAATTTGTAATCAATTTATTCAGATATTTCAATTCATGTATGTTTATCAAGCATTATAAAAAATTACTCATAATACGGATACTCACTGAGTATTGTTGATTGGTATGCTCAAACAGAAACTAAACTCCAACTTTTTTTATAAATAAAGCAAAGTACTTTCAGAAAGTGCCTGTACTTCTTGAATTTTTCATGAARAAAACTAACCATTTGCTCAATCACTATGCATATATAGAGGATATAAAATCAGAATATTTGTATATCTTATTCTTTATTGCAGACCTAGGATGAACATGTATGTTTGTGACCTTTCTGGAGAGAAGATGTGGCAATTGTGAAGTACTTATGGAGTGTGAAATACTTAGCTTGAAGGAGACAGAAAAAACTTATAAAAACAAAACCAATAGTTGAAATGAYTGTCACATAAGTTGGGGGAACAATTATCCAATGTTCTGTTGAGCAAGTAATTCGTGTAAATTGAAGGACTGTGAGCAGGAAAACATTCATTAAGTATTGATTTGATTCTGTGTATTTTATATTCAACCTTTTCAGTTAATCTGAGCAATAATATCATGAGATACATATTTTTATCCTTAACTTTCATATCAGGAAAATGTAAAACAAAATTTAAATCTGTCATTCATGAAAATGAAGCTTGAAGTCTAATTCTAAATCTTCTTTATACTGTTAACCTAGATGTCACTAAGATTCTATGGCTGATCTAATTTTATTTTAGCTCCACAAAAACACTATTCCCAAACCTGAAACCATATACATGAAACATATTTAGTACTGAGTATTTTATGATTAATTTTGAAAAAAAATAACAGTTGACTTATGTTGAGTTTCAATAGCACCACTCAGCAATCCAAAATAAATTGCCTTAGATAAATAAACAGTTTGGTTCAAGAAAACATGTCACATTAAATAGTTCCTTCCCTGCAGGCAGAGCCCATTCTTAGGTCTGTTATMCTTTCAGAATCTGAATTCATGACCATACCTTGTGTGTGCAGTCCGTCAGTCAGCCCATGCAGTGCAGAGAGGTTTGGAATGAGCAGTTCAGCTTAGCTTACTTGTCTTTCTGTACCTTCAGGTGTGGTCCACACAGCAGTGTTCTTTATGGCACACTAGCCACACTSATGCTTTGTTTTGGACTCTTCAGAAGTCTTCATCTTCTTCCACTTTAGCCACCACTGGTTTCAGTCCCATTATATGTCACTAGTTGAAAACAAACCATTGAAAAATTTTATCAGGGGGATAGTTTCAAACTAATAGTATTTGAATGATTGTAGCTCTAAAATGAACAGACTTAAGTTTTTTTGCTCCAACACTATTCTTGGTTTTTAGAGTAAAGGACCTATAGAAGGCTTCTACTCTCACTTTCAGGATTTGGTCTCTGAAAGATAAAACTARTGATTCTGTTTAGTAATTTTATTCCATTTGATTTAGTTAATATTTACCATATACTCCTAAATGCGAAAAKCACTGTGTTAGGAAATATGAGAACAAGTGAAAGGGAGAAAGAAAAACTTAGTGTCAAAGAAAATCTTTTTTAAAGGAAGTRGGATATACCCAAGTGTGAATAAATAGAGGCTATGGTAACATCAAGAGAAAGATATAAAGTAGTAAAGTTAACAAAGCCATTTCAAATAATTTGAGAAATATAAGGCATAAATGTGTAAAAACAATGCATTATAGGATATCTGAAGAAGTGGATGTAATTCTGAACTKCATTGGTCCAGGATTGCATCATAGAGATGCATTTCACTAGATCTTGATGCACAYGGGAGATAACACAATAGTAAAAAAATGGCTTACCAAAGTTCAGAGGGGAAGAGGTTTCTGTACATTCAATGAATGGCATAAAACATGTAAGCTCTGGGACACAAACCCACTTTGTAGAAAATATTAATAACCATTTAGTAAATTTAAACTAAATTTGAAGGTAATTTTTTTTATTGATTGTTCAAAACATTACATAGCTCATGATATATCATCTTTCATA